TAAAATTCACCTGTAAGGTGAGATATAGTCTCTGAGTAAAATCCCTATTTATCTTTAACTTCTTTGTATTTTTAGATTAATAAACACACATCTGTGTAGTTTTATATTTAGAATTGCTCCCTATTCTATAGGTTCGGCAGCATAGAGATAATGGAACGCCATACCAGTATCCCTCCTGTTCTGTTTTATATTTCCTAGATTTTAACTATCATACTTGGTTTCCCATTGGAGATTGGAAAATCTTTTTTTTTTCTTAGTTTATTCAATGAAGCCCCTGAATCTTCTATTTCCTTGTGACCTTCAGGGAAATTTTAATAGAAAAGAAAATGTTAACCAAAAAATCCCATTTATTCCTTGCTCTTGTGACATTTTCCTCTTTGTCTTGCTCTGAAAGCTAGTTTTTCCATTTTAGGAAGAAGGAATATAAATGAGCAATTTGGTAATGTTTTTCCATTCAACATATTCTCAACCATGATTTTGAGATAACTTTTAAATGTCTCCTAAATTTTTAAAATTTGAGATGATTTTATGCATGAGTGCTGCAGTTCCAGTTTCCTTGAGCGGCAGCACAGCGTGATGTCCCCATTTCTGGTGGGCTCCCAGGGGTTTACAGAACAGCACAGAGGAGCTCTGTCTGCTCCACTCTCTCCATACGGTGTGGTATCCGGTGTGGTATCCGTAAGCACTGCAATAATCCAGGGAGAGCAGGCGGTAGGTGTTGTTTCTGTTCTAACTCTGCTTTCGGAGCTTGATCCTGAGGGCAGCATCTCTCTCCAGGTGTGTGTTCCTGGGGAGTAGAGGGAATCCTGGGTCTAACCTCTGGGATTCTGAAAGAACACTGAAGCATTCCTGGAAACCCCCTAGAATAAAATAAACTCCTCTTTCCTTTTTTTTTTTTTTTTTTTGTTTCTCAGTCTTTATCCTTAAACCTTTTGTAGCTTTTGATAGATTTGCTAATGCTCGATTTATAAAACTCTTTGTATCGGCACCTTTATGCCAATCACGATTCCTGTACTTTCTTACAATCTGCCTTTCCACCCCCTTCACCACCTCCTCTTCTTATCTTGCCTAGCCGTGGGAACCTCTCAGAATTCAGTCCTGACCCCTGGTGAAGCATTTGTAATTCTCTGCCCCATCACCCTCCCTGTCCCCAATATTATAAGGAACTAATGAGGCGGGTAGCCTCATTCTGTGTTCTATTCAATTGTTCACACTTTTATCTCTGCAAGTGAATTCAGAGCTTTTTGAAGCGACAGACTGTGTTCTTCCTTATACCTAAAGAGCTGCAAGATCGTAAATTAGTAAACAGTAGGTGAATGAAATCACCATTAACACGACCTTTTTCTTAGAAGCACTCATGAGCTCTTCATTCATCTCCGGAGCTTCTTGTCTTTATAAATGACTTCCAGACCTTTTCTCCATACCTTGCTTATGCCTGTGCTCCATTTCAACTCCTCCTCCTCCAACAGTACGGGTCACACACACCCAGCATTGTGACTCTTGTCTGGTTTCTGCTGCGACCTGTTTCCTAAACTTTTTTCTGGAGTGTCCTATCTTTCAGGCATGTGAACCCAGTGACACCAAGGGATTCCTAGATCTCATTTCCAGGATTCCTTTGATGTGGGGATCTGAACATTTATTCATCTCTATAGATCTATAACTTTTGTCTATTTGGAGAGGTGGTATTTCTTGTTGCCTGTTGTGCTGAAGTATAGATAGATTTGTGGACGAGTTAGATTCCCTTGTGCTTTCAGTTACAGTTACCCGGGTGGCTGCATGTCTTTTCCTGAACTTCAAGAGTAATTACTACTTCAGAGTACATACTAACAACTCAAGATAGCCTCCACAGTATTTGAGAGGCATTCTGTTAGGGTAAATTCTAGATAGTGGTTCTTTAGACTTTTGTGTTTCATTGATCAGAAAATTGTAAAAAAAAAAAAAAAAGGCGGGGGAGGAGTTTGCTATGATGTCATTAAGAAAACAACTACTACCTATACTACTTTCATTTAATAAAACACATTTAACATCAGAAAAGTTGGGGAGATTACCCTTTAGATTGAATAAATTAAGCTTTATTTTAGAACTTTATGTTAGGTTTCTTGTTGTCATTTTGCCATGTACAATGGAACTTCCATACGAGTCAGAACTGACGTGTGGTCCAGCCTTTGAGAATTGCTGCTCTAGACTAAGCGAAGCAGTTGGACTGCTAGTTAGGCTCTCATGGTGCTCCAAGTTGTGAAGGACTGGCAGTTGCCTCAGCGTTCAGTCTGATACGTGGTGGACCCTGCTCTCTCCAAGACGGGCCCTTCTCCCTTCTCATGTGCTGTTCTTGCCTTGTGATTGTGAGAGGAAGGGGTATCTGTCCTCTCCTGGTGAATCTGGGCAGGCCTGTGACCACAGTGAAAGTGAGTATATGTGCTCTCCAAGGCTAGATCATAAGCGGTGACATGGCTTTGGCTTAGTTCTCTTAAGATGCTTGCACTTAGAAACCAGCCTGTGGAGAGGCCTCAGGCCCCAGCCCCCTCCAGCCAGCCACCTTCCCCAACTTGCCAGGCACGGAAGAGAGTCATCCTGGAAGTGGATTCTTCAGTCAAGCCACTGAACTGATGCTGAATGCAGCAGAGACCAACTTTCTCACCTGAGCCTTGCCCAAACTGCAGGTCTGTGAGCTAAATAAATGATAGTTGTTGTTTTAAGAGGCTCAGTTTTGTGTTCTTTTATGTAAGCAATACAACATGCACATTTTGGAAAGTGGAAGTGAGAAATTGACAAAACAACACCCAAAACATGTGACATTGGCTTTGGGATTGCATGGTAGATAGAAGCCGGAAATTTCCAGAGTGGGGTCTGAGCGAAAGCCTACCGGCCTTGAGTGGAGCTTTTACACAAGTCTTCAGGGCCTCTAGGAGGCTGCCTGTGGGAGTTTATGGAAAAGGGGAACATGTACTAGGAGCTGGAGAAAAGGGCCCTTGTTGTGAGATTGTAGTGAGTGACCACACTGTTGTTGAAGTAATGGGCCCTGATCCTGCCAAGGACTGTCTGGACAGCACGCCAGTGCCCCCTGGCTGCTTCTAAAATGTGAGAGAAGAGAGAGGAGTTGAAGAGAAGGAACATTTCAGCTTCCAAATGAACTTTAAAAGAAATATAGAGGGGTCAGTACTTATTGGGTTTGAAAATAAAGTTGCTTCTCATTCTCTCAAACTAAGAATTGAGTTCTGGGAAAATATCAGATCTGGGGTGAGGGGGCGGGCTAGGGTGGTGGTTTATAAGGTTATCTGCTGAGACCTCAGAAATTCCTAAGATGGTATCACAGAGAACCTCCCAGATTTTAGGTGGGCTTTTTCAGGAGAACTGGGAAGATGGTCTCTCAGAACTACGCGAAAGCCAGGGCTGACTGTAAATCTCCTCCATGTTTTCCCGAGGTATGGGGATTGGGAGAATCTGAGCTCTGAAACTTGAAATCACAGGAGTCTCACCCACGGGTCAGGTGGACTGAGGGAGCCTGAGGGGACCAAGGTGGGACAGGAACTAGATGAGAACCCGACAGGGCATTAGTCAGAATGACCTGAGGCAGTGCAGCCGAGGGGAGAGTCTTAGTGCTGAGAGAGATGAAGGTGACAACCTGCACAGATGAGGTGGGGGTGAGAGTGGGGACAGCCTCGAGAACTCGGAAGATGGGTGAGTTAAGGAAAGGCAGATGGGCACGTAAAGGAATAGGTCTCAGGAGACAGCTGGGAATAAGACATTAAAAAAAGAAAGACCTCTTGCGGGTAAAAAAGGTGGTGGAATGAGATGGACATCATTACCCTAGGTACATGTATGAAGGCAGGAATGGTGTGACTCTGCTTTGTATATAACCGAGATATGAAACGTTGTTTTCTATATGTGTAACATGAATTGTAATGCATCCCACTGTCATATGTAAATTATAAGAAAAAAATGACCTCTGGCATTTACAGCAAGGAGGGGTCCAGGTGTTTAAAAGAACAGACCCAGGTCAACCGTATAAGTCTGTATAAAACAGAAAGTTGTAGAGAATATTTGGGGGGTTGCTGGGTGGATGCCAAAGTGGTGGTTAATTCAGGGACAGGTACAGAGCTGTCAACTGAAATTCTATTTAGTCTCTAGGAACTGGGGCTTTGTCATTTTCCTTAGTACCTAAGTGCTAGAGAAGACTGAGGGCAGAGTTTGTGAGCTTCCTGCTGTGATGTTCTCCTCAGTCCCCCAGGAGAGGGTACACGGCGGCACAGGCACAAAAGTGGACTTTGCTAGTTGCCAAGTTCAGCTCTTCTTGACAGTTACCTATAAAATGAGGATTAGTGTTAATTTAAAAAACATTTATACTAGCCAGGCAGCGTGGCCCATGCCTGTAATCCTTGCAGCTGGGCAGCCTGAGGCAGGAGGATCACCACTTCAAAGCCAGACTCAGCAATTTAGATACTGTTCTGAAATAAAGTATAAAAAGGGCCCTTGAGTTCAATTCCTGGTATCAAAAAAACCAAACCTAACCCAAACAAACAAACAAAAACCCAAACAACAACAACAACAAAACATTTATACTATATTTGTTTTTAGTTAATTAGAGGCAAAAAACAGAGATCACAGAATTGGGGGGTGCATTTTTCCTCCCACAGAGAATGAGTGACATTGTTTCTTTAATTTAAGGACCAAAAGCAAATGAGGAATAGGAGGGAGGAAAAAGGAAATGTGAAATATTGAATGGGAAGGAGAGAGAAAAGAAAATGGATAAGAGGATGTGAGGGGAAAGGGAAAAAAAACAAGGGAGAGAAATGAATTACAGTAGAGGGGGTAGAGAGAGAAGAGGGGAGGGGAGGGGAGGGGGGATAGCAGAGGATAGGAAGGGCAGCAGAATACAACAGACACTAGTATGGCAGTATGTGAAAACGTGGATGTGTAACCGATGTGATTCTGCAATCTGTATACGGGGTGAAAATGGGAGTTCATAACCCACTTGAATCAAAGTGTGAAATATGATGTCAAGAGCTTTGTAATGTTTTGAACAACCAATAGTAAAAAAAAAGAAAATGGAAAAGTTGGGGTAAAAATGAGTCAGAGAGGAGACAGGGCAGGGTTGAAGAGGCTTAGGGCTTGGATGTGAGGCTCATGGCTTGGATGTGAGACAAGGTGAGAAGGTCTGAGGAGAGACGATTGGGTTCCAGGCCGTTCATTGGGGTGTGGCTATGGGGTATCTATTTGTATCTGGAGAGGGGCTCCCCTCTGCTTCCTGATCAGGGTGTGAGCTGCTTCTCCCCAGCACACTCTCCTCCATGCTGTCCTGCCTCAAGCCCTGAGGACTGGAGCCTGAAGTCTATGGACGGAGACCTCTGAAGCCTGAGCCTCAGATAAACCTTTCCTCCTCTACACCTGCTCTGGTCAGGTCCTTTGAGTCACCGCGGTGACAGAGCTGACTGAAAACGGGGCTGAACTGGATAGGGTTGGCAGGGGAAAGACGCTTCATCCTCGGCCATTTCAGCCATCTGGTCAGCCGAGGAGGTCAGTTACCACAGTCCTGGTGTAGACGAGAGCTCAAGAACCGCACGCTTCCCTGGGACCAGAGGATTTGGCTTCTTCTGCATTGGGGGTGGGGACAATCATGCGGCCAATCAGAACAAGAGCAGGTTGGCACGAAGCCAATGGGAAGTGGGCATGGAAATGAGCCTTGCTGGCCATCGGTTGGTGCCGGGCTGGCTTTGGGGGTTTGAGAGCCTCTGTCTCCTCTCAGCACTGAACCCGCCTGGACTTGGCAGAGCGTGGTCTTTGGTCTTGGTAGTTTGGAGAAGAACTTGATTTAGGATCATTGACATTTGCGGTTTGAGGATGCCACAGACCTGAAGAGCCGCTTGGGGGACAGGTGGTGTGACTTGAAGATGTAGCATTTTGAGTCCACTTCTGACTCACTCCTGGCTACACATCTGCATTGCTGTGACCTGTGGACCAAACAGGTACCAAACTAGAGAACAGAGATAAACCTTACGCATTATTTGGGTACTTAGAAACTTCTAGGAGTTTGTAGGTGAAAGCTAGTCGTGAGGAAAAATGAAACAAGGGAAGTCCTTCCCAGCACCACCCTGTGAATTTGGTTTGGCTAAGCCCTGCCGCAGGGCACCAGCTGCAGTGGGGGTTGGGGGTTGAATCAGTTATTCATGTGCCAGCCCTGTGCCTGTCATCGGGCACCTCTGAAGGGGGGCGTCTCTGGTTCAGTCAGCAGTGCAGTGTGATCAGATTTCACCCTCGGTCTTTGCCCTTGCTTTTACCCTATTCACTCCCATCCTCACCCCAGCCTTGACTGGCGGTCACTCAACTCTGACCTTGTTTCCTATTTGCTATTTTGGATTTGGATGAGGCAGAGAGAGACAAAAGAGGTATTGGGGTTGGAGTAGAAAAGTGGAATTCTAAAAGGAGTTTCACCCACAGAGAATGAAAAACCAGGTACCTTGCTCCTCACATGTTTGTGGAGAACCTATCTTGTGCCACACCTGTGTGCATGTCCTTAATGAAAGCCAGTGTTCTGCCCAGGCCTTTGAGAAACACATTACCACCTGGTGACGACAGAAAGTGCAGGAATCAATACAGCCCCTCTGCCACATGCACGTAGTAGTAAGAGGAAGAAACGCCAGCGCTTGCTCCAATATTCTTGGAGCAAGAGGTCAGACAGGACATAGTAATGTGTTCCTGGACAGGAGGAGAAGCACTCGGGTCTGAGTTGGGACAACCTTAGACAGAAGCAGGAGGGGTGAATGGAGACCTGGCCCGCCTCATGTTCCTCTTTTGCACATTATCGCAGGTTAGTCTGCAGCAGAGAAAGTCATAACACACGGGAATCCACCAAGTTAGGTCTGGAGAAGCAAAGATGTCAAATTCTTCCTTCTGGTCACCGAAAGAAGGCACCACACCTGACTTACTCTGCGGGAAGCCAGTTGGTTTCCTCACCACGAAGGACCGTTTCATGATGCTTATATGTGGCACTCTTGTTCTGGGAGGTAGGTTTCTTTGCCCCAGCCTGCCCTGTAGTACTGAGGATGGAACCCCTGGCCTGGCACATGTAAGGTGGGCACTGTGCCATGGAGCTTCTCCCTAGCCCTGGGCGGTGGTTTGTGAAACTCGACTTTCCTTCGTCCTTTGAGACTTTTCTTGATGCAGAAAGTGATCGAAACCACATCAAAAGAAGAGGCCCAGGACTCTTCACGTGTGAGTGAATGCTGCCAGTCTAGCCTCGCTCAGGTTTCAGTAGCGTCTACTGACGTTCCTTCAGTCAGTCACATGGGCTGGGCATGGCCGTGTGATAGGCACTGGCTCACACCAGGGAAGTGAGACCGTCCTTAGCCTCATGGAGCCCTCTCATATGGGGACAGGCCAGCCAGAAATTACGATGCAGCATGAAGGTACTGTCTGAATGTCTGGCACCAAGGAGGAGAGAGAACCTCATGTGCCTGCCTGGCCAGGCCTGACCCAACCAAACCTGACAACTGGGCAAAGCCCAGAGGTACAATTTGCATAGCTGATGTCATTAATTTTGCCCATTTTATTACAGCACCTGATGTGATTTTTTTTTTTCTTCTTCACTCCTACCCGACTTCCCAGAGGAAACTAGGAAAGCCTTTACAAATAAGGGCTCTTAAACAATGATTAAGAATCAAACAAGTGTGGCAAATGGTATTCATGCAGATACAGTAATGCACTTGATAGCACAGGTGCTTTATCTCTGATCACAATTCAACACCAGCGATTAGAGAAAAGCTTCTAGACCTCGGAAAAAGAGAAATTAAGAAAAATGTCAGCTGTTCAAAAAATGCAGTTAGAGAAAAGCAAGCACCTTTTGTTCCTTTCTGGTGATGGCCGTTTTCTTTATGGTGAGAGTCAGTTAAAAGTATTTCTGGCTTTTAGGAAAAATTATAGAACATACATTGTAGTAGCTTAGGATGAGCAATTATTAATAAGATGAATGATGTAGGTACTAAGACTGGATTTTCATTATTTCTCACCTTCAGATCCATTGGTAAGGTACCAATATGGTGTTCCTAATATGTCACTGGGTTGGCAAGTGGGGTGTTGTTGAAGCCTCAGTATTTCCCAAGTTCACCTGTGAGGGATGCTGCAGTCTGTGTGTCTTACACATAACAGCATTTGTAATGACCATCAGATATTCACTCACAATAATATAACACAGAGAGAGGTTTAAAATAAGTAACTAGAGTGAACATTAAATCGTTTCAAAACTATGAATTGTTATTATTTTCTATTTTGAGCTTCACCCTAGCCCTGAGTGGTGGTTTGTAAGATTCGACTTTCCTCTGCCCTCTGAATTTTCTCAGTGCAGAAAGTGATCACAATTACTCTTTAACAAATTTTTTAAAAATTGACACTTTATGGAGTGTGGTATAATTTGATACATGTGTAATGATCAAATGAGGGTAATTAGCATTTTGAAACTGTAAAAGTTATGTTTCAATGGTGCAATTTGTTTTTTTTTTTTTTTTTTTTAGGATTCTCGAGAATGTTTTTCAAGAATTCTGAAGTCATTGTCTTAACCATTCTTTCTGTATCAGGATTTATAATAGGACAACTGGCTTACCATTTTATTGAGGTACTGTATGTATAATAAATGAGAGAATAAATTAAAGGACAAATATCAAATACAAAGTCCACTTTCATCTCATCCCCAAACATGAATGTTTTAAAAAAAAATGTGAACAGCTATTCAAAAAACTTCACCTAGTCTAAAATATTTGGCAAATGGAAAAACACAACCAAGGATGTATCATTAGGGAAAGTCTAGATAAACCCATAATTGGTAAGTGAGGGGGTTGGTTGGCTTCCCTGGGTTCTTGTCTCTGGCCTTCCAGCCTTGCTCCGGCTTCTTATCTCCCCTGCAGAGGCCCCTTATAACACGCAGCAGTTGTTTCCAGGAGGCAGACTGCATGTAAAAGCCAAGCAAGAGAAAAAATTCATTAATTTGGTAACTCCTGATTTCAACTGCATTACAATATGATTGATAAGCATTTGCCTCTGCTCATTCTTTATTTTTAAACAATGGAGATAATGCTTTTTACCTGTCCAGGTTTGTAAGAGTCTATTGGTCATCCTAAAGTACCACTGCTCTTGCTAGCTAACATCTTTTGAGTGTTTATTATATTACTTACTAATTTATTAACTAAGTTTTGAATTAATACATTCATTATTGTGGCAACTCAAAGGAAGTGTTTCTCTGTTCTTATTTGGCACACAAGGAAACTGAGACCCAGAGACGTTAAATAATGACAGTTAATCCATTGACTAGGCGAAAATAAACTTTTTAGGAGGGAATATTTACAGCTCACCAATCACTGTTGTGTTTTCCAGTATGCTATGTGCAGCCTTCCTAATTATATAACCAATCATAGGATTATGTATTATTTTTCTCTACTGATTAACTGAAGGATTTTTCAATCTTAAGCAAATTTATGTGAAACCACAGGTACCTATGCAGTATTACTTTTCCTGCTTAAAGCCAATTAAAATAAATATCTAGTAGTCAAATAAAAAAATGCTTATCTGTGAATCACCTAAAATTATTTCAGGTATTACCAATGGTAGGCACATCGCTATTTTATAAACTGGCTACCCTCCACAGGCAGTGTTCATATGGTTAAAAATTCCCTGGTAAATAGAAGACTGTATGTTTGCCTATGTGTCTATCAACTGATCTGTCTCTCTACTGTCTCTACTACTCCAGGACTCTGAGACTGACCGTGGAGATAATCTCTCACTGGTTGTAAATGGGAATATTCTCAAGTCTACATGAATGGACGTAGAATTGACCTAATTTCTAAGATCTGAGAATGGCAGCAAACTAATTTCTCATTTGCCTTGTATTAGGTGTATCCAGTTGTTTACCCTCTTCTAAGAACACCAAGTTTTTCGCTTTATTCTTATTTTTTGCCTTTAATTGTATTTGTGGCTGCTTTGGATGTGGATTTTTATATAGTCAAGAATGTGTTTTGGCAGGTAAGAACACATTTTGAAACAAACTGAAGTCCACTCTTGCTTATTCAAGTTGATCAAAAATGATTGTTTTATAGCAGATTCCTCATTAATGAATTAATGAATTTTGCCTTTTGTGTTGTTTTACCCTCTTCGTTGTGTGGAACCACTAATTAAAGAGAGTTGGGGGGAGGGATTAATATTTGCTTAGTGACCACCAAGAAAAGGCACTAGGTAAATATCATCTCCATTTTGTACACAAGCAAACTGTGGCTCGGAAGTCATCCATCAATGTCGGGACCTGGTTCTGGTCTCACGCCTGGCTCAGCTTGGAACAGACTGAGTTGGGGGACCCCTCTGAACTTAAGAGCAACCCCTGCTGACAGTAGAAACTGAAGGGCTACAACCCTCCACCTGATGGGTGCCCAGGAAACACAGTGGCGACTGCCCCGTCCCCCAGTGGTCTGACTAAGCTCCCCAAATCCACACGTGTGCATTTCCTGTTTGTCACCTGGCTTCTGCTCCTGTACATTGTAACTGCTTCTGGCTGTTTCTCTCCCTCCTTTTGATCAAGTTCATTTTTTCTCTTCCCATCGTTCCCCTCTTTCTTATGGGGGCAGGCAGCCAAATACAGCCTGCGGGAGGCCAGCAGGTTCCCTGGGATAGGCCCCCTG